CATACATGCATACATGCATACATGGAGCCGCAATCTTGAATTCTGAACTCTCCCACTTTCCAACAGGGAATTCCCACTTGGAGTATGTTCCAATTTAAATATTTTTTACTTGCAAGTCAGAAATTCCCACTTTCCAATACAACTGAGCTGCAGCAAAAGTAGAACAAGGCAAATTTTGCCGGCTAATGGCTATTTTTTTAACCCTACGCGCCGCCACCTTATGCCGTCATTTCCTGGGTAAAATAATCAACATGCATTGTGGGAGGTGTAGTTTATGGTCAATGCAGGCTTCAAGGCAGCATACGCTTATTTTAAAACATTAATCCACAGAAGCTCTTGCGGGCCACACAAAGTGCTGTGCCAGGCCACTTTTTTGCCCGTGGGCCTTGAGTTTGACACAGGTGCTATGTTTTTAGCTTTAATTCTGTAATGTGTAAGATCTGTTCCACTTTGTTAACCAGGTGTTTGGTGAGCAGGTCCTGCAGCAAACAGCTTTTATGAGTGTGTCTTTAAAAGCAGCTGTAACTACGCAACGAAGACAAACCAAAACTGAGATTCTGAGAGAAACACTTGAAATCCAAACAGATTTTTAAATGTGCATCTTATAAATTCTAACACAGAAGCTTACAGAACTGGGAAGAAAAACAAAACACTGACATGGATTTTATTTTATTTTATTTTTAGTCTACAATGGAAACCTTTAAATAAGTCATGAATCCTTAAAATGTTCATCTCAGCACATACAAAATAAGCATACAGATTGTATTTAAAACTGATATTAATAAGTCGTGACAAAGAGTGTGAGAGAGGAATGGAAATAAAGTTACGGTGAGTTTGAAGTTAAACTACGGGGAAACTCTTCCTTCTACTGATTTCTTTAGCTGAAATAAGCAAACAATGCAAATAAGTTGTTTATTTTCCTTCAGGGCTTCTTTTAAACCATCTGGGTGAAGTTTGCTTCAAACTCTGACAACCGTAGGTTGATTCTACATGTGGCCCGAGTGACTTTTATCCATTATTCGTGTCCCGTTTAATGAAACCGACTGGAAAGGATATGAAAGCGGCTCTAGTTTGCTCCGTTTCGGTTCAGAGTCCACAATAAGTGCCGTACACGTCTCCATTCCCACCTCCAGGTTGATCCCGAGCCCATCTGATCAGAAAGCTTTTAACTAAATAACCGTGCAGCTCTATAACAGAGTTCAAACACGGGCTGCAGCAAATGTGTCCAATCTCAGTGCTTTGATTTCTTTTTTTGGTTTCACCCGAGAAAAGTTCCGACTGAAGCAAGAAGCCGATGAAGAGCGTGCCGCTGTGAGTTTCATGGTCCAGTTAGCTCGCTGTGGTTCCTGTCCTGATCTGCAGAGAGAGAGAAGGAAGGAAATATAAAACACATCCAGGTGGCTCTGCTACAAAAGAAATAAAATCTGATGAGGCCCAGATGTGTATTCAATTGCAATAAAAAAAAATAGCGGGCTTTAAATGAAAGTTTTCCAAAACAATCAGCGTCCAGCTGCCAGTGTTCGTTTAGTTTTGTCAGCGTTGCTGTTTTTAAAAGAAAACTACACAGATGTTGAAAGTTTTTGAAAATTCAGGGAGAACTGATGGCTCCAAGGGTCAGAAAATTTAGCACTAATTTTTCCTTCCATCCTTTTTTTAAATACATAAATACAGATTAAAAAAAATCTCCACCACAAAGGTTCTGTGTTTGGTAGCATTGGTTTGTTTATTTGTCCATCTGTACACAAGATTACGCAAAAAGTAACTGATGGATTTTAATGAAACCTTCAGGGCACGTAAAGGTCGTCACAAACACTGGTGGTGATCTGGCAACATCTGGCAGAGCCGCAGCTCGCTAGGATCTGCCACAAACAAAAACTGTAAACATGGAACAGAGCCAGAGGCTGCTTTTTAGTGATGATGTCATTCCATGACAGCCAATCAGCATCCAGGAGAACTTTGTTCCCCTTGATAGCAGGGTGCTTGTCGGACGGAGGGTTTTGCAGGAGAAGTCTGTCAGGAGGAAACCCACACAAGGAAGACCCACTGGGGCTCGAATCCAGGACCTTCTTGTTGTGAGGCATCAGTGTTAACCATCGTGCTGCCACATTTTCAAGTTGTGAAAATATTCTCAAAAAAAAGGCTTCAAAAATTTTATTTCATTATTTTGACCCCCGCACGCGAAGCGTAAGCGGGAGTCATATTGTTTTCGTACGTTTTTTTCTTCAGTAATTTTTGGTCAACCGTACCACAAAAACGGCTGCACCAATCAACATGAAATTTGGCAGGGCTGTAGATAAGTCTGACCTACACTGCGCCAGCCAACGGTTTTACGATAGACCCCATATCTGAGGAGGGGTCTCCTTTCAAAGAGGGGGTGTCAGAACATGCGAAAATGCTTATAACTCAGAAACTGTTCAACATAGAAGCTTCAGATTTCTTTTGTTGTTTAGCTCTGATGAAGCTCTATTCATCAGGTCAAACAATGCCCAACCCCCACCCCCACAAAAAAGACCCCCACCCAAACCACTACAATTTTGGGATGCATCTGGTAGCATGACATTTATTAGGAATAAAGATTTCTGAGACCTGGTGCATTTGTGCGTGCGGGGGTCATTATGTTACCGCTATGCGGTATCTAGTTTTGGAAATAATTAGATTAGATTATTGTAATAAATTACTAAAATCAATAAATGTGAAAAAATATGACTGTGGTTAAGAGATTATTATATAAGAGAGTTTAAGGAAAGAATCAGCCAGGTGATGCTAATCAAATGCATCATCAAGAAGGAAAGACATCACAATACCAGCAATAATCTTAGGGAAGCAACTGTAGCTAAACATCAGTCTGGAAGGGGGTTAAGGTCATTTCCAAACAATATGGTTTCCATTTGCAGGTATCAGGTACAGTTTATGACAGGACGATTAGAAGAAACACTGAACAATATGGCTTGTTTGAAAGGTTTTGAGGCCATCTGACATTTGGATCAAACTGGGTCACAAAGCATCAGGACAATGATCAACACAGCAGCTAATCTACAACAGAACAGCCGAAAAAGTTCAGACCTCGTTCTGACTGAATGCTGTGATGTGATCACAGAAACCAATGTCTGCAACCATAAAAAATGAGCCCAAACCATGTGACATGCCAATGACAACATATGTAAAAGTACTTCTGTATAAGTCAGAAAGTACCTTTTGATTTTTTTAAACAGTAAAAACATACAAACAAACCAAAAAAAAACGCTTAAAAGTACAAGAAGTAAGTTTGGTCTGAAGAGAATAATAGTTTACTGTCTTTGGAAGCAATAAGTCCTAATTTTAGACAATCTGTTTAACTCTGCTGTACTCCAGACCCATTTCTAAAGCACTCACACTTTTCTGCACTCAATTCAGCCTAACTACATTTTTTTGCCTTACTTAACACAAGAGCTCACTGATTCCCCCTGAGTCCTGAATGTTTTTCTTTGAGAAGAGGCAAGCGATCTCTAGATTCTGAAGTCACTTCAGAATAAACTCTGGAAGACCTTCAGCTAACCAAAAAAAGAAGAAAAACTCATCATTACTCATGTTTGGTTCAAGTTATTAGTATTAGTGATATGTTGTCCTGTTTTACCGACTCTCTGGGCTTCAACCTACACCAAACTCATCATAACTGTGAATTCCGTGGTATTTGTTGCACTTATTTCCAACCATCCTCCCACCGTACGGCCTCACAGCTGACCGCTTCAATCACACCCATCAGGAGGCCCAGTTAAGGAAGTCCCAGGCATGTACCGTGCTCTCATGAGATGATTTCTCAGTCATTTCAAACTCTAAAGCCCTTTAGGCGTGTTGAAACCTGCAGGCACCATGTTTGAATGGCAGCATTAATGACGGGGCCTGTAGTGTCATGTTTCCTAAGTTATTTCATCTCTTAGCTGCTGGAGTTCAGGGTTAATTATCAGACGTTTTAGCTCCTGATGGTACATTAGAGCTTTTGCCAAAAGGGAACGACGGTTGACAGATTTGATTTCAACAATTAGCTTGATTAAAGAAAATGTGTTTAAATTTTAGATGTGACATTGAAAATAGAAGCTAATTTAAGTCAACAGACTGTTGTTCCTAGAATTAAAATATTATGAAAGGGTTAGCTATAACTAAGTGCTGCGTACCTTTGTGTCTTACCTGTTCAAGCTGGCAACTATATGGCCTTCATGAAGCTAAAAGTTTATGCAAACTCAAAAACAAAAAGCAGCTGATCTCCCTTCTAGTTCTTAGGAAGTTTTGGACCTATCATTCTGTGTGGAGTATGGGTTTTCTCCGAGTACTCCGGTTTCCTCCTACAGTCCAAACATGCATGTTAGGCTGCCTTCAGGCCCAGTCCTCCCTTGCATCTGTGATCTTAAGACCCTTCTCCATGGGTGTGCCAAATGTGTCTCCATTTCTGGTCCCGGCTGCATTTTTGGACCCACCTCAGCCGTGGTTCCAGGCGGATCAAGCGATTTTGACGTCAGCAAACTGCTGCCCATGGTTAGACTGAGACAAAGTGGAACTTGCAAAGTCCTCCTGTAAACCCTTCCTGGAGGGAAGTGCAAATCTTTGTAGAAGACGAGCATCCAGGTTGAGCTCAATTGAGCAGTCTGGATAAACTCGTGGTTACAAACCTAAACCACTGTTTTATGAGGCACTGCTCAAATACACAGCCTGAGTGGCAAACATTCAACACTTTAGTTGTGAAACTGTGAGTATGAGTCCTTTTTGAAAAGCCAACTTAATCCATTTTTCATTGCTGGCTTAGGCTGATTACAGACAGACCCGAGACAGATCTGTAAGTTTCTGTTACTCTGAAATTGGAGGGACAGAGTCACCATGTTACCTAACTTCCTAAATGAGGTGAGTGAGAGGAGCTTTTTGGGAATTTGGTCACCTTATTCTTCATTGCATGAGCTCACATTCAAGCTGGAGACTTCACTGCTTTCTTCATGGATGGCCACAGTGTTATTCTAGTACCCACATCAATGATTGAGTTTGGGGTCCTAAATACAGAGGTGTCATGTAACGTACAAATACTTTACTTTATTTAAGTAGAAATTTTGATTATTTCCACAGCAAATATGGCAGTGTTAAATTAACACTGTGTTAATTTGACACTGTTTAGGCCTACTATTGAATCAACACCAATAGTGTCAAAGGGAACCATGACTAGTTGTAACATTAGACATTTGATAAATGTTTACTTCAAAAAAGACTGTAAAAATATTGTAGGCTGTTTTGTTTTCATAAATTAAAAAATATATATTTTCACACCACATAATTAACGCCGCAAAGCATATCGAGTAAATGATGACGTTCATACTAGTTAGTTTAGCCTATTAGCGTTCACATTAGCACATGAGCTAATATTTATAGTGCTATTAGTTCCCGAGGCAACATTATTACATGATATGGAAGGAAGGAAGGAAGGAAGGAAGGAAGGAAGGAAGGAAGGAAGGAAGGAANAAGGAAGGAAGGAAGGAAGGAAGGAAGGAAGGAAGGAAGGAAGGAAGGAAGGAAGGTCTGTCGGTCGGTCGGTCGGTCGGTCGGTCGGTCGGTTGGTAGGTAGTATAACTCTTGAATGGATAGTATATATACCACAACCACAATGGAGGACCAAAACTGACAGAATTAAAAATAAAAGCAGAAACATAAATGGCCCAGAAAATAAATAAATGCACTTAAAATGCACCAATTAATTTAAAAAAGGAGAACTTTCCTAATGTTTTATAATTTCAAGGATCGTCATATTTTTTCCAGTTTTGTTCCACCAAATAATATATTTTAGTGTATAATTTAAATTTGTAAATGTTTTTCAAAACACATTTTTTGTTTTTCCTTTTATTTGTACATGAATTTGTGTCTCTCAAATTGTTTTGTACTAGTTAAATTTTTTTCCCCGCAAGTATTTTTATTTCCATGCGTTGCTTTTACATTTTCTGTCTCCTGTATTTACTTTACCTTATGCATTTCTGCCTCATTATGTAAATAAGGTGGGCGGTCCTTATTGGGTCAGCTCCTTTACTATTGGTCAACAGACAGGAAAAGGCAGGATTCATGTGCAGTCAAAGGCATGGAGGAAAACACTTAGCTGCGTTTTTGTTTTAAACTAACTTTATACTTTAAGCTAAACTGAAGCAGCACAAGCATACACAACCAATCTGCACACATAACTGTTCTTATATATTGGGTCATTTATATATTTCTGCTTTTATTTTTAATTGTGTCCGTTATGGCCCTCCATATATTTCTACGTGAGTAACGTAAGTGAAAACTTTTGGCCTCTCTGCCTGGGCGTAATGTCATCACTCTTCTGCAACACGTTCGGTGTCCTGTATTCATTTGGTTGTTGTTTTTTTTTTCTTCTGTTTAGGGTGCGTAACTTACCTGCACACATGTTGTGATGCTTTGCACCACTGAAGCCCCATATCAAAAAAGAATGGGAACACTCATTTGGCCTTTTTTCCTCAATGTTTTTTTGTTTACATTCTCAAGGAGCCATTAAACACCAACAAACATTTCTCTATTCCAGCGTTTTTGGGGAAACTTTGCTCTTGGGTTGATTTGCAAAAAAATTCACATTCATTTTGTTTCAGTTAACATTTTATGCACACTCCCAACCTTTTCCAGCACCAGGTTGTGTCTCGAGGGGTTTTCGTTATAGCTTTGGTATCAAGTCTCTAGTCCACATGTGGTCCTGCTCAAGATGTACTTGCAACGTGCTGTCGAGTCATATCACGCATGGTTAGTTCAAGCTGTCAGAGCAGCTGTATGTTTTATTGCTATTAGAATATTACCTCTTATTGTTGCAGCCTCTCAGTGCTTCCATTAAGATGACCTCCTTCGTAGTCCAGCTGGCACAGGATCATATTGTTCTTGAGGAAAAACTTGTCTCCCACGCAAAATCTGCAAGAGGGAAACAGAACTGTGAAACTGGGTCTGGGTTCTTGCTGGGCCTGAAGTGAATTGTGAGGTCCCACAGGAATGTAGCCAGCATATTTTCACGCAGCGTAGATTTACTGTTATGGTAATCAAAAAACTGCATCTTGCATAACTGCAACCTGATTAAATATTCAAGTGAAGCGGTGTAAAAAGTCTTTAACCCTTGGAGATTTTGCACAGTACTGACTTAATCACATTCTGATTACAATGCACAAGTGAAACCCTCATAATGACCCGTGAGCTACACCTTCCAGATACGTCAACTGAATTTGATCTCCCCGGCTAATTGCTCCCCTAATCTTACCTCTGGCGGCAGAGATGACAGGCAAAGCAGTCTAAATGGTAGACGTTGTCTCTGGCTCTCATCACCATCTCAAAGGCAGGGATCAGCTTACTGCAGGCTGCACAGTTCCCCGTCACCCCAAAGAGCCTGCAGAGGGAGAGAGGGTAACACAGGCAGGCCTGTAATCTGGATGCACACGCAGATATGTTTCAGCCAGGCACTGCAGCAGACAAAAATAAAACGGCAAATATAAAGAAAAAGTTAGCCCGTCCTCCTCGGTGAGCAGCAAAAAGTGTTGCGCCCGTTTCTAAATAACCATTAACCGTTTCATTGATCTGCGCTGCCGTTTCCTACAGGTTCCCCATCGGTGTGTCTGTAAAGCAAAGCTCACATCGTCTCTGTATTTGCAGCCGAGTGTGAAAAAGGATTCACAACCTAATTATAATTATGGGCACATGAGAGGATGAGCTCCTCGTAACAGGAACTGCAGCCATGTCATCAAGCAAAGGCTGCAAACCATTAAGTTTATTATCCACAAGTTTTACTATCGCTGATGATGAGAATTTAAAAAAAAAATGGAAACGGTCAAGAGTCTGAGGCTGGAAGCAGACAGTGGTCAATGTTTTTCACATGCTGAAAGACTGAAACTGTTGTTTCAGCTCTACGTCACAGTGCTGCCAAGGAGAAGTTGTCTGTAACAACCTTGTATGTGTTCCCCATTTAAAATACAGTTAACTATCCTGTAGTGTTAACAAAGAACGTTTGTGTGATTTTACTCAACTGCTGGTCAGAAATCTGTAGATTGAAGTTTGTTTTTCAGAATCTACACGGTGTAATTAAAAACAACACAGACAGTAAGCACTGAACAAAGTATTTCCCTTTTTTTACTATGTTCTTAAAGTTTAGCCAAGTGGTGTGTGAAGACACATTTGGTAATTTTTAATTAGGGTTCTGTGAAACTCTTACAAAGAATAATTATCTTACTTGTTGTCAACAGTTCTAAAAATGACCTCGTTTTGGAGAATAATTCTGATTGATTTAATGAGCTAAACGCTAGTTTGAACTATTTTTTAGCCTGTTAAGCTAAAGTCTGTTTTGAACACAACTGAGACTAAAGTGAAGATATACTGATTTTAAATGACTTCAGTTTTCAGAATGTCATAGTTTTTGCAAACACAGTTTTGTAAACTTTTACATCATTGTTAGTTTCCCATTATATGGTTAGTGCTGGTATTAGCAGCTAGTTATAGCACTTCCATTGCAGCCTGGGAAATTTTATGTTTTATGACATTTCCGCCAAAATAATTGTGTAACACAAACTCAGTTCTGTAAAGGTCATTTATTTAGAAAATAGTGTTAATTTTCATGTCTGATAGGTCGACTCAAGCTAGCCAGTTTTAGCTTGTCAATATGATCTGAGTGAATAAACTTCTAAAGTAGATATTGTCATCTTAAAACAACTCCAGTCTTCAAAATTTCAAAACAGTTGGTTGCAAATGCTAAAAAAAGTAATTGTTGCAAAAAACAATTTCAGTGTATTGCCAGAAATGGCCCCAAACTGCACCGAAAGAGCTACAGCTACATGTAGCTCTAGCAGCACGATTTGAGCTCGCCAATAATCACAGATTTCCATGTAAATGTGAAACTGATCATGATGGTTTATAAAAAAATTTTAAAAATTAAGGACATAAAACCCCGGATTTACACTACATGCGTCTCCGCTCCGCTGCGCTGCGGTGTGCAGGTCACAGCTGTTCGTTTGTGCCCCCAATTTATACAGCCTCCCCTCCACTCAGCTCCGCTCCGGTGCGACAGACAGAGGAGGGAGCGTGTGGAGGAAGGAAATCGCGCGATAAATCCAGTGATGTGGAAGTCAGAGCAAAAAATAATTAATTCTGTAAAAAATGAACTCTAAACACAGCTGAAAACATTAATACAAAGGCTTTTGATATCTATGGTTGAAACTGTATCACTGTCGTCCCTTTGAAACATCTGATTTCAAAATAAAATCCATGTGTATTGTGTGTATACACATATGCCTCCTGCTCCATGTTTCCATCTGCTTCCCAAACAGAATGATATTCTGACAGCATTTGTGTAGAAATATATTCATATATTTATTAATATAGCTGGGATTTCGACATTATTCCGACAAATTATTCCGCCTAATAGTGTCTTATTTTGAAAATACAGATGTTGTGCTTGTTCCTCTTCCTGTTGGTGCGACGTAATCTTTAAAAATTGACTCCGGCACAGCTCCGGCGTCCGGCAGAAATAGGATCGGATCTAATTTTGCCAGATCGCCGTCCGCTCACCGTCACCGTGCGCAGCCAGTGTAAACTCTCTCATTGATTATAATAGGTGTGTATTTGCTGCAGAGGTCGGACCGGAGCGGAGAGGAGACGGAACGCATGTAGTGTAAATTAGGGGTCAAATGTTGGAGATTATACTGCATTTAAATTATACTGCATTTATGAGGATATCTTTTAGAAATAAAAAAAATTAGTAGCAAGATTAAAAATGTGTTCCTTTGTGGACAAGACCTTAAAGTCTTTCTCTGAACTGATTTTGGTCAAATAACTATTTCTATCATTATCTATACCCGTTTATTCCTTCAGGGTCACGTGGGTCACTGGTGCCCATATCCAGCAGTCACAGTGCGAGGGGCAAACTCTACTCAGAAACATCCCCGGGCCGGGATTTGAACTGGCAACCTTCTTGCTGAGAGGCATCAGCTCTGCCAACTGAGCCACCGTGCTGCCAAATAACTATTTACCAGAGGTATATAGTAACTAAATACATTACTTTGTTACAGAAATTTCTTTAAGGATTTGTAACTTTACCAAGTATTTTTTTAATCATAACTTTTACTTTTATTTTGTTACATTCAAATTTAAAAATTATAATTTTATTTTACTTCAAAATGTAACAACTAGACACAAGTTACAATTTTAAATATGACTGAACTCATCATGAGAAGAGTTGTTTATGCACACTAAAGAATGAAGCGTTGAATTTACCCAAGTTATATCAACTGGTTCTACTAAACCTTGTTGAGTAAATGTAAAGCAATTTACTCAACCCAGTTTAGTGAAACCAGTTTGCATTTCTTAACGTGTGTGTAAAAATACTTTTACTTTCCCTATTATTTCCCAATGACTGTTACTTCATTTATTTTTACTTAGTTATTTCTTTCAAGTACTTTATAAACTTCTGCTATTTACAAGTAAGATGGTTTAACTAACCCAAAAGGTTCTTCTTTAGTCCAACTAAATTTTACTACATCTGCGAAATCTATTTTTATACTAATGAATGGTACTTATATTATAAAATATAAAAGCTGCTGTATTTTACATTTGTCTTGGATCACTTTATCTGTTAGTGGTGTCAGAACCAGGGCTGCTCGATTATTGCAAAAATTATAATCATGATTTTTTTTATTGAAATTGAGATCTAGATTATTTAACAAAACTATTCATTCACTTTGACAACATGAATTTGTTGAACATAAACAATGGCTGTTAAACAATGTTTCCCTCAGGATTTCAAATATTTTTGAAAAAGTTAGACAAAGTGAAACTTTGGCTGCTGTGATGGACTTGCGACCTGTCCAGGGTGTACCCCGCCCCTCGCACTGTGACTGCTGGATATGGGCACCAGTGACCCACGCAACCCTGAAAAGGAAGAAGCGTGTACAGAAAATGGATGGATGGATGGGAAACTTTGGCTGTGGGGGGAGCCTGCAGCATCATGCTGGCAGTGGCACTGGATTCACAACACAAAACAGAGTAAGCATAAACTGCGAACTTCGATCATTATGTTTTTATGATCGTTGAAAACTCAAATCGTAATCAAGATCAAAATCCAATTCATTGCCCAGCCCTAGTCAGAACTAAAAACAACTTGTGCAAAATTGCAAGAATTTAGACGTAAATCTTATTTAGTTTAGGATGAAAGAAAGTCAATTCATTGAACTTTTTTAAGAAACAAACAACTGAGCCTTTTGCAAATCAACTGTGTGGTTTTAAACACTCCTTTCTGTCCAGCTGCAAATGGTTTCACCTCTCATTCACCTCCAGCAGAATGAACAAGCAGCTCCCTCAGAGCCTAACACACATGAAGAAAAGTCTCCAAGACTAATTTCCATTTTTCATTAAAGACCATATAAGAAAAGAGGGATTGGGACAAAATGATTTGAAAAAAAAAAGGAACTACATATGTGGAGTGTGAGAGAAAAGCAGTAAGAATTTTTATCCCACAGCCCCGACCAACAAACAAAAAACGTCATCAAATGAGTGACTAACATGGGAACAAAAGCGTGCCCTAATTACCAGAATGTTCTGATCTAACGAGCATGAGTCCTTCATAGGCACCTGGTGGGTTTTTTCCTGCTCCTTAACGAGGCTACGAAGCTCAATGCTAATTCTCTACTAATGGTCCAATTAAAAGAAATCACATGGTTTTAATCCCACTCTTCAAAGGCTTTTGGTCTGCACCCTCGCAATGATGAGGAAAACAGGAGGCAATCTAGCCAATTTAACTGTCAAAAGGGGTTTTGGTCTCCTAAGTGCAGCGCAGCTAATGAGCGACTTAGCTCCAACAAAATCCAGCTGGATTGTACATGAGACTAACACATGAGCTCAGCAATGTGGTTGAGAAATCAGGAGTTTTCCTACAGATCTGAGACCTTCATAACAATGTCTGCCTTGTTATTTGAGGCAATAACATTTTGGACATAATGTTATAGAAGAGTCACACTGACAAAGATTAGCATAAACATCTCGGGGTTGGAGGATTAAAACTAGCCACAAACACTGCTCAATGCTAGCAAAATGCTAATACTTCCAACCAATTAAATAGCCTAATTTCTCTTTATTGGTATTATATTTATTTTTAAAAGAGCTTATGAACATGTGCTGTGTTCAATTTAACTCGGATTTGGAAATGATGTCACCCGAATATAGTTGAAAAATCTGTAGCATCTGCTAATTGTCAATACTCAGTAACGAGGCTAACTAATAAGCAATGCAAGCCAATGTATTTTTTTTTCTAAATCTTACACTGAAAGTGTGAAGAAGTGGCTGGGGAGAGGGAGGTCTGGGCCTCCCTTCTGAAGCTGCTGCCCCCGCGACCCGACCCCGGATTGGCGGAAGAAAATGGATGGATGGATGGATCTTACACTGAAGCAATATATTTCCTACTAGATCGTTTTCATAATGTGTGAAACTGATTCATTGAGATACAAATATTGGGTTAATTTCCGAAGCTTTCACAGCTGTAATGTGCATTAGATTTTGAAACTGGGGCAAGTCCAGAAACTTTTGATTTGTAATTTTGACTTCTGAATGAGTTCTTGTTTATTTTTACTACTTAGAACAAATGGTACAAACCATTACTTACACATAATAGTCATGGAGTTCCACAGGGTTCAGTGCTTGGACCAATCCTCTTTAGTTTGTATATGCTTCCTTTAGGTAAAGTTATTAAACAGCATGGGATAAATTTCCATTGTTACGCTGATGATAGTTATATTTATCCATGAAACCTGATGAATCCAACCAGTTAATTAAACTACAAGCATGTCTTACAGACATAAAAATATGGATGACTCTTAACTTTCTGCTTCTAAACTCAGATAAGACAGAGGTTATGGTTTTTGGACCTGAGCATCTTAGGGATCAACTTTCCAGCCTTTCAGCTCCTCTGGATGGCATTAATCTGGCCTCCAGTTCTAATGTAAAGAACCTTGGTGTTATTTTTGATCAGGACATGACTTTTAACCCCCACATTAAAAATGTTACCAGGACCGCCGCCTTCCACCTGCGTAATATCACTAAAATTAGAAACATTTTGTCCAAAAATGATGCAGAAAAACTGATTCATGCATTTATCACGTCTAGACTGAATTACTGTAATTCTTTATTATCTGGGCATCCAAAAAACTCTTTAAGAAGTCTTCAGTTAATCCAAAATGCTGCTGCTAGAGTTTTAATGAGATTTGGAAGGAGAGATCATATTTCTCCAGTTTTAGCTTCTCTCCACTGGCTCCCTGTCAAATT